ACCTTGGTCCATTAGATAACCATATCAGATTTAAATGGCAGGATAACAGAAAATGTGTTCTTTTTGTTTTTAGCCATACAATCATCAAAATATCTCACAGAAGTGTATCATGGGAGACCATGACCCAGTTTCAATTAACAAACATGGTTGAAAGCTAAGTTTTAAAAGTTAAATATTATAAATTTGGAGACCAGTGACTGAAAAGTTGCAAAACAGGGTGCAGTAGCCGTAAGGGTTATCCATGCGCCCCCATGTATATATGATCGTGGACGTGGCCAAAATGAGTCCTGGCACAGTGACCTTTGCCGTATTTTTTTTGCCCGTTTTTTGGCCTTTGGACCACTTAAGAGATAAACACACATAAAAAAAATAGACTTAAAATGCCATTGATCGCAATATTATGTAAAGATGATCGAAAATACAGTTTATTAAAACTTTGGTTCTTTTTCTGAAAACATAAAAGAAAAAAAGTCTCATCTCATTGGATTTATCATCACATCCCTACAAGGATTTAATTAGTTAACCTACATGGGGCCTAATCTAAAATCTCCTTTTGAGCCCATAAACATTTAGTGGTCGTACAGCTCTATCAAAATAGGGTTTTGCTTCTATTTATGCTCATGAATTTTATTTAGTCTCTTTCTGTGTGTATTTGGTTGATTTATTTATTGTTGTTTGTCAAAATGTCTTGAAATTGTCTGAAATAATTTCCATTCATTTATTCATAGATATACAGTATATAAATGCTGGCAGTGGTCATCCTCTCTAAATAATACCTAAAAAGAAAGGGAAGTATGGGGTGAAACTCCACAGCTCTCCACAAAAGTCTTTGAGCACAAAGCCAACAAAAAAAAAAAACACCTGTATGAAAATGTGGACTTCTAACTACAACTCAGCACGATGAACCAGAGTAAAGATTTATGAAATCTTTGGAGACAAATGTGCGACTGACCACCTGACACAGCACCAATTTGCCACCAGCTAAATTGTTTTCCAATTCTTCTGGTCAGTGACATATTATGTGAACTGAAAAAACCTGGAACTAATGAGCTGAAACAGGGAATATTGCTACTTATCCAACTGAAATCTGACAGACTTCGCTCAATAGATCAATTCCTCCACCTTGCTAACGCAGGGACCAGTTCAGTACTTCCATTAAAGTAACTGCCTGTCCATTAACCATGGTGCTACTGAACCGTGTATCAGAAAGTGCTTACTGGTTCTGGTTCTTCTTTTTAAATCGAACTGAATTGAGCCAGGCCCACTGATGCATTTACATTCAGCAACCCTACAACTTCATAAAGAGCTTAATACTGGGTTTAAACAGGAATGAGGAAGTCTAATTTGATACTTTTAAATGCTCTTAGAACAAATTTTAATGCCATCAACAAAGTACCCATGAGTCTCATGTATATATATATATATATATATATATATACATATATATCCATCCATCCATTTTCAAACACGCTTATCCCAAGTGGGGTCGCAAGGGGTGCTGGTACCTATCTCCAGCTCTCAATGGGCGAGAGGCGGGGTACACCCTGGACAGGTCGCCAGTCCATCGCAGACATATATATATATATATATATATACTTTTTTTTTTTTTAAGAACACAGTAAAATCCTTCATCTTTACCGTCGTCAGCAATGTCCGAAATTCCTTGTTTTCCAGGCACCTTTTTTGAAATTTGCATTTTCCCATTCTCTACCTTTTTCTCCGCCTCGAGCTTCTTTACCAAAGATACGGCTTTATCATCAAACAGAAGCAGTTCCGTGCTGTTAGGGTTCCAGTTTGTGTGGGTTGTTTTTCAGTGTTTTTCCTCTCCCCACCACCAGGCGGTGCCCTGTTCTCATTGGGCCTCCCTGCACACCTGCGGCTCGTTGGGTCATTACCAGAGGAGTACTTAAGCAACGGACTGTCACCACCTCAACGCCAGAGTGTTTGCCAGTATTGGGTACTCTAGCCTTACTGAGATTAGCTGAGTCTAACCTTTGCCTTGTCTCTCTGAGTCTAAGCGTTACCTTTGTCTTTGTTCTCCGATAGGATGCCCTCCTGATCCACTGGATAGCCTGGTCCTTCTACCCCCCTTGGAAGGAATAATTCGAGTCACACAGAGCAAGAGGAAACCTTCACTAGATCTGTTCAAGCTCACTTCAGGAAAACCCGATGACAGTCCGTTCCATTGCTCCTCTGGACCCAACGCAAGTCTGCCTGTCCGCCCTCCAGCAAGTTCCTTCGTCTCAGGATTAAACCCTCCACAAACTGGACCCAAGGGAAACCAAGGTTCTCCCTAATGCAGGGGTGTCAAACCGGTTCCAGAAAGGGCCGTGTGGCCGCAGGTCTTCTTTCCAACTAAACAATAGCACACCAGACTCCAGTCATCTCATCAAGTGAGTCCAATCTGAACATGATGACTTGATGAGATGACTGGAGTCTGGTGTGCTATTGCTTGGTTGGAAAGAAGACCTGCAGCCACACGGCCCTTTCTGGAACCGGTTTGACACCTGTGCCCTAATGTGAGTCTTCTTCAGCAATTCACCAGTCTCAGTCATTTTCCTAAAAGACCTTGAACTGATCTTTGTGATTTCCCCTAAAAGTTTCCGGATCCGGTTCACCAGACCGCTAAAGTCCCACTGCGATAACCCCGCATATAATCTCTCTCTCTGTTTTTTGTCAACCTCTCAATAAACCTGGTAACTTTTCCCCTGGCCCTCTGAGTGAATCTCTGCATGTGGGTGAGATCTTTAAAACCCATCATGACACGCACAAACAAGTGGAACATATTATACACGTGGAACTGAAAACGAAATTGTTTTAATAAATGTATTTTTTTTAAACAAAGCATTTTAAATGCCAGAAAAATCACATTTAATGAATTTTAATGCCAATTACGGCCTTAATTTAAAAAAATAATTTAACGACTTTTAATGATTTTTAATGAGCCACTGAAACTGTTTAATAATATTTTTAGTTTCTATTCTCTACGTCTAAAGCATGGAGTCTTCATCATGAGGTAAAAGATTAAAAACAACAGATTTTGGTTGGGAAAAAGTGAACATTCCAAAGACTTTGACATTCTTTAGACATTCCCAGGTAATCACATCAAATCAAGATGTGCAGTTTAGTTTTTACCAACTCCCAGAGATAGAAGGCATCTCATAACTACGCCTTTCTCTGCACGCAGAAGCAAACAAAGAGTCACTAAGAGTCAGAGCTATTATTGTCAAGAAATGCTGCATTCTGCCTCAGAGATCTCTTTGTCTCCTTGCATTTTAATCCTGTGGATTCAAAGCCAAATAAAAACAGGTGTTAGTATTTCTTCACCTTTTGTTTTTCCACCAAGGCTAACTCCTTAAACGCTTGATTAAAAAAACTTGTTCTGAAGTGATACTCAGTTCATTTTGGTGCGTTTTCAATCAGCCCTTTTGTCTCTAAACAGAAAGGTAACATTTTGGTGTTAAACTGCATGAAACGAGTGAATTATAAAGCCTTGTAGAATTAAGAAGAGTTTATAATGGAGCTATGATTATAGCAGAAATGGTTTTATCTTCTTTTCCAGTGGACCAACATTCTTCTTGTCACGCTTTTCTCAATCCAATTGATTCACGACGTGAGTGAGTGTGTGCAGTGTTCACTGCACATGCACTTAAGCCTCCTCAAGGCGTGTTGGATAAAAGCCTTCGCTGAAATGCATATGAGAGTGTGTCAGGAAGTGGGTGGCAATGCATATGTGTGTGGAGAGAGGACATGTACCATTATCAGTTATTAGGCTGGGAACCCTCACCACGGTGGACGGAGAGCTCCAACAGATGATCCAATGCATAATGCAGGGTGGAGATTATCAGATGGGGGTATCTCGATCAACAGATGATCGATTAGCAGCCTAAATGACCGGAAAATAACGCTAATTTCTTTAGACAAATGAGATCATTCATCACTGAACGTGGGAGATATTATACACTTTAACACAAAGTTGAGGAGAGTTTAATATCAGCAGGAAACACCAGAAAACATCTGTTTCTATATCATACAAATAAGACTGCCTGGTCTGAGGATGGTCTCTGATGGACAGTTAAAGGATAAAGTGATCATAAAATTCAAACCCCGCAGACTGAGACGTTCCAGACACCACTGGTAAAACATATTTAAGATGTTTCTCCATTCTTCAAATTGATGGCTACATCCTCTGGCTGCAAATGGCACCATGACTCCATATTGATGTCTGGGTGTTCTGAGCTATACTATCAATACCTCTGCTTGCTGCTGCTGCTGCTGCTGGGAGTGATCGGCTTGGAGCTATTTTTAAGCGCTCAGACTCGGACGAGCGGCAGGGGAAATGTGTGTCTGCGTTGCGCTCTGCAGCTCCTTCTGCAGCTCAGCTCTGCTGTCTTTATGCTGTCTAAGGGGGGGCTTGAGGAGACATTACAATATATAAGTTTTACAGCCATCCTGATGCCTCACGCACAACAATAAATCGGCTTTATTTGAAACTTGCGTGGATAAAGAAATAAAAACATGCAAGGTAATAAAAAGAGGATTAACTGAAAACTCCTGCTGCTTTTCATTAGTGCTGCGTTTAAGTTTCTGCTCAGTTTTGTCTGCATGTGTCCAAGATGTAGCTTTATTAGAGTCAGAACATCCCTTATTATTTAGGAGGGGGCTTTTTTCCTTCCTGACTGGATGTTTTTGTTGCGCGCATCCCAAACATTCCCTGTTTGCATTGGAACTGTCCCTGTAAGGTAGTCTGCCATGCACTGAGCTGCGTGCGTTTGGCTGCATGCATTGCAGACACGCTGCAAGACTAAGGTGATGTCCATCCAGCAAAACCTCCTAAACTCCAGAGGCTTTGCGGTCTGTTGTCTCCGCAGCCAGAAGAAAACCCAGCATGGACACAGCCGCAGAATCAAAACATGCCAAAAGACAAAAAATAAACTTTTATTTTAGCCTTGGAGGACTTAGATGATGAATCAAATCAAGGAACCAGAAGTGGATCTCACCGGAGCAGTTCCAGCCGGTCGGTGTCTGACAGTCGCTGAGGGAGGACGGGAAGGCGCGCAGCTGCTCCACAGGTAAAGTAGCGAGAAAGGAAAGGATGGTGATCCGGATCCAGCCTCCCGTAAGAGGCGCGGCTGTGCCTCCCCGAGCATGTGCAGCCACGGTCGGACCCATCTCTCTCTCTCTCAGTGGCCCCGGCCGCAGCACGGGCGAGGCGGGGAAACGGCGCGCGGCAGCTCTGATCCCGACAGGTTCAGCGGGGCGCCTAGAGCCCGACGGCGGAGCATGTTCCGCGCGAGACGGTGCGCCCCATGAAGCAGTGGCCCGGTAAACTGAGCCGATCCAATCCGAGGGAAGATATTAGAGACCAAACCAACAGCCGATCCAGCACTGGGGAACTGGGGGGGAAGGATGGAGGAGGGTGAGTGGGATGGAAAAAGTTGGAGACTGGAGGACCTAAGGAGGAGAGGATGCTGAACTATGGAAAAAGGGAGAGAGGATTGAGAATGGACTAATAAGGTGATACAATAAAAAAAAAAATCAAATAAAAGCAAATAAAGTCAAGCCAGGATCCAGCTGGGAGGGATACGAGTGGTAATATCCGCGGTGCGACAGCGGCGCTCCTCCGGTGCGATCAGAGCCGCAGCCACACTGTTTCTGTCCGCCTCTCTCACCAGCAGCTGCTGCGCATCACGTGGAGGATGATGCGATGGAGAGAGAGACGGAGGGAGGGGGGGTCCGTCACAATTAAAATATCTAAGTTTTAGAGAAGGACTACAAGCCGAAGGAAATAAAAAGCAAAGCCACAGAGAGGAGCTATAAAAGACACAGTGTGCCGTGGGCTCAGTCCCAACAGCTGCTGATGGCGATGGCTGCTCCACGCACAGACTCATCAAACACCTCCTTTATTGTTCTGCAAGCTGCTCTTGGCCAACCGCTCCTCCCTGAAACAACACCGATGCTTCTGCTCTTCTTTAAACCTTCCAGCTCCAGAAATAACTCCACGCTGGTCGTGTTTTCAGGCAGTGATCACGCCCCACAGGATGCGCATTTCATGTCCCTCAATGTGTTAGCAGATGTTAAAAGGTTAAGGCCTCAGGTTAAGAACACTCCACCTTTCATACAAATAAATTGCAAACATGCAGATGGAAAAAGTCCTTTGGGGAGGGGGAAACAGTAGGGCTGCTGTAAACAGCCCGTCACGGTTAGAGAAGAGACTTGACCTCATGATGTTCTGAGGAAAAAAGCTGCAGATGTTTGAAAACAAATAATCCTTTTATTGCTCATTACTTAGAGATCATTTCACGGGTTCTCCTCACTTAATAGGGTTTATTACATGCATCAAATTCAGGAAACATCTGCTTTGACAAACTAGGGCTTTTCTTCTCATATAAACATTTTAGATCTATTTTTCTAATATGGAGCTTTATTAGCCTCATTTGACTTACAAACTTTTCTTCTTTCCCTTGTAAGGTCATGAAAAGTCTCATTTTCTGCTCTTATTCATCACTCAATTCCATTTAGTTTATTTATATACCGCAAATTCACAACATGTCATCTCAAGGCACTTTACAGTTCACCAGATCATACAGTCAGATTGATACAAAGTTTTCCATCTAAGGAAAACAAGTCGATTGCATCATTCATTGACTCAAAAGACAATCCCTAACATTACGCATGCTTGTGGTGACAGTGGAAAGAAAAAACTTCCTTTTAACAGGAAGAAACCTCCAGCAGAACCAGGCTCAGTGTGAGCGGCCATCTGCTGAGGCCGACTGGGGTTCAAGGAGACAGAAGCAGAGATACAAAAGGCAAGTGTAAAAGGCGGCCCCATCCAGGAAACACACAACATATTCTCATTATCAGTTCGTATGAAATCGTACGAAAAGTTATGCACAGTATTTCGTACGTTTTGGAAAGTTTTTCCTCGAAAATACAGATCAGTGCGCATGCGCAGCCACACAGACGAAAAAAGCAGATCCGCGGACGGACGTAAAACTGGGAAAAACAGTGCAATAATTACTTCTTCATGTCTCTAACTACGTTGCTTGCTGCTTTGTATCTTAGGGTTAGGCGTTAGACACTCTCTCGATGACCCCCCCCACTCAGTCCGACGACCCGAGCAGTTGGCTAGGGGATCAAAGGCAACCCACGCACGTTCGTTGGTATCTCTCAGATCCATAGCCAAGCCAGTTTGTAAAACTTGGAGAACTAGGGTTAGCTTTTAGAGTAAGGCACGTGTCAAGGGTAGGGACCGGCTAAGTGTAATTTTAAGGCAAGGGTCAGGTGTTAGGGTTAGGCATGGATTCCACTAATATTAGGGTCAGTAGCTAATTGGTCTGGTAAGTTGATAGTAAGGGCTTAAATTAGGTTTAGGGCAAGTGTCAAGGCTAGGGACTGGCTAAGTGTAATTTTAAGGCAAGGGTCAGGTGTTAGGGTTAGGCATGGATTCCACTAATATTAGGGTCAGTAGCTAATTGGTCTGGTAAGGTGATATGTACTATAAGTGTAGTATAAGGGTGGAGATCAGTGCGCATGCGCAGCCAGACAGACGAAAAAAGCAGATCCGCGGACGGACGTAAAACTGGGAAAAACAGTGCAATAATTACTTCTTCATGTCTCTAACTACGTTGCTTGCTGTTTTGTATCTTAGGGTTAGGGTCAGGATTAGGGTTAATTGTATGTTAAATTCTAGGTTATTTAATGGTGCGTAACATGCGCAAGGATATCTTGTCTTGAGGCAAGACGTAAAAATACGACGAAATGCGAGGGAAAAAGAGTCTAAAACGTATGAAATTACGGTGCATAACTTTTCGTACGATTTCATACGAACTAATAATGAGAATACACTGAAACACACAGCCAGGCCGACGAGCTCTGAGCCAGCTCCCATGTCAGAGGATGAAAAGAGCACATGCAGCCAGTCACAGTCAGAGAAACAGGAATACACTGGAAAATCTCCAACATCTAGAAACAAAGGTGTTGATAGCAGCAGCAAAGCTGATATTTCTCTCCAAGGTGGTGTCACAGCCAAACAGGAACAAATGAGGTGAAGCTACTATGAGAAAAAGCAGAGAGAGAGCAGAACGTTAGATTGAACTAACAGATTCTGCAGCGGATAGATATAGAATGATGAAGTAGGGGTCCCTACATCCTCCAGCATTCTAAGCCTATAGCAGCATAACTATAGAGATAGCTCAGGATAACCTGAGCCACTCTAACTATAAGCTTCATCAAAAAGGAAAGTTTTAAGCCTAGCCTTAAAAGTAGAAAGGGTCACTGAAAACATAGAGAGTTTGGTGGATTTAGTCAAGTATCAGGAAGTACTGATAGAAAAAGTTCTAATTTTGTTGAGAAAATGGCTGTTATTGGACCTTCAAAAGACACAGTAGTCAAAACAACACCCAAGAGGCTCCTAATGTTTGTTTCCAGAGGAATCCTGGAAAATATTAGATCACATTCTACTGAGTTTTACTATTCAACAACTAGAGTAAGATTTAAAATGCAGCCTTCACATACAATCACAACATTTTTAATGAATCCCACAAGTGAACTAAGATTCTTTAGAAATAGTACTTGAGATTTAAGAGTGTTCTTGAAGAGGTTAAATAAAATTGTCAATTTTAATGTCTTTTTGTTTTGAAAATGGAGAAACAACCTGCACCACCACCCTCTGTTTTCAGCTTTTAATATATAATTGTGTATTGAAAACGGATACAAATGATTTGCTTAAAAAACAAATTTGCTTTGGGTGTTGAAAAACTTTACCTTTCTAAGGTCAATACATCTCTGCAGTACAAGTGCAATAATCCAAGTCAGCTACTACATAGTCTTCCCTTAGCTCTCTACTGTGCAGATATTTTTATATCTAAGGGAAATATATTCCAGGACATTACAACTTTTCTCCCTTTTTATGTTTTTTTAGGTACTATATACACTTTTTTATATTGACTGTGGTATTTTTATCTTTAATGGCATCTTGCTTTAACTCTGTTGTACTCCATATAAGCTACTGGGACCAGAATTTCCCTGAAGAAGGAATCCTGAGGGGATAAATAAAGTTGAGTCCAAGTATGAAATTGGCTCTTTCAATTCATTTCAATTCAGTTTATTTATATAGCGCCAAATTCACAACACATGTCATCTCAAGGCACTTTACAGTTCAACCAGATCATACAATCAAATTGATTCAAAGTTTTCTATCTAAGGAAAACCACTTGATTGCATTGACTCTTCGACTCAAATACAATCCCTCACACTAAGCATGCTTGTAGCGACAGTGGAGAGGAAAAACTCCCTTTTAACAGGAAGAAACCTCCAGCAGAACCAGGCTCAGTGTGAGCGGCCATCTGCTGAGGCTGACTGGGGTTCAAGGAGACAGAAGCAGAGACACAAAAAGCAGCTGTAAAAGGCGGCCCCATCCAGGAAACACACAGCCAGGCAGACGAGCTCCGAGCCAGCTCCCATGCCAGAGGATGAAGGGAGCACATCCAGCCAGTCACGGTTAGAGAAACAGGACCACACTTGAAAACAGGCCGACCTCCAGCATCTATAAACAAGGGTGTTGATGGAAGCAGCACAGCTGATGTCAAGAAAGTCTTCATCAAGAAAGTGAGAAATAAGGTTTGATAGTATCTTCTCCATAATGTGACTACTTTGAAGGTCATTTAAATGTACTCACAAATCTCAAAAGCAAATACATTTATTTTTAGTTTTTAGTTCTTGTGAGTATGGTAAATAGCTATTAATAAAGTAAGCTCTATCTGTTCCTGCTTAGGCATCCTGGCCATTTTCACAAACACAGAGAACACATGTCAACCAAGTGTCATGTTGGGATTAAGATTTCTAACCCACATGCAGAAACACTCGGAAGCAGAGAAAAAGTTCAAAGGTTTATTTACAGAAATGTACAATAAATGAACTGGTCCAAGGGGGTGGTTGACTGGTCAGGAGTGGGTTCACCGCTGAGGAGGACAGAGGGGTTAGTGTTGGTCCAGGTATATTGCAGGTTGTTTGATGTTCAGGGTTATACCTGTTCTGGAGTGGAGTGAAGCCGCAGAGGGGGGGAACCTTGAGGGTCCAGAGGCTGTTGGCAGGCAGAGGGCTTGGGGCGGAGGCAGAGCTTACTGAGTGGAGGCAGGCAGATCTCAGACTGAGTCTTTTCTCTCCAAGTAATCTCTGAGGGCGGCAGGCAGATTACAGACAGATGCAGCCCTCCAGAGTTCCACTTAGAGCGGGCAGGCAGGTAACCAGCAGAGACAACTCTCCAGGATTTCAGTTTGTCAGGCAGGATCGATCTGTGAGACAGAAAGGTAAACAGGATCAGACTTAGTTCACAAAAAGTCAGAAGACTTAGACAGGCAGGTTGGCTCAGGCTTTGCTAACCATTACTGGCAAACACTCTGGCACTGGAGTGTAGGTCTCCGCCTCCTTAAGTAGGGAGCCTCCTGATGAGCAGATAGAGGACAGGTATTGTAGACAGCTCATGCTCCAGGAGATCTTGTGCGCCCTCTGGTGGAGAAAGTGGACAAACCTCCAGATCCCAACACCAAGAGGGGCCAATTAATCTAAAAAGGATGTTTTCAGGCATAGAGGGAACTGGAGAATCCCCCATAAAACCCATACATTCACATAAAAAATAACTGATCAAACAGAGAGATGGACATTTTAGCTGCACCATTACAACCAAAAACTACAGTAAGACTAATTCCTTTTGCTGACAACCCAATACTTCCCTCACTGTCTGAAATGGCATCACATCCATTCTGAAAGGTCCAATTTCCGTGTAATTTGGTCCACATGCAAACTGGCCTAGCAATCCAGGAGAGGCAGCAGACAGCAGAGGTGAGTTTATCACAAGTGGGAGAAAATTACCACAGATAATTTCCTTACTGTTAAACAGTTTGGAAAGTGGTGGTCAGCAG